CCCCCCCCCCATCCCCTCTTGGACCCTCTGAGTGAAAAGTCCTCCCTCTATAGCTTCTAGGAAGTGACGTGACCTGGCTGTCACCGCTGAGTGAACCTCCCAACTAATATCCGGGAGACTGAAATCTCCCATAATTACTGTGTCTCTCCCCCGAGATATCCTTAGAATCTGGTCTGTCAGAGTCTCAAGTTGACCTGGAGGGCGATAACATACCCCCACTGTCAGGTCTCTTTCCCTGTCAAAACCCCTAAGTTTCACCCAGACTGCCTCTACCAAATCCCCATCTGTGCTGCATTCTATCTCACTGCATCCTATCCCTTCCCTGACGTATAAAGCCATACCCCCACCCCTCTTTCCCTTACAGAAGCATAATGTGGCACTACAGTGTAACTGGGAAATGCACAAGTTTCTCTTAGCACAATTCCCAGATGATAACACAATTTCTGTAATTTAAAAAGACACGGGAATGGTAGAAAAGCATTGGAGAGGTTTTGGATGTCATATTCAGCATTGGAAAATCATTGGATGTCATATACAGCACCCATAACTTGTTATGAGTGAGGAATCACAAGCATGCAATAAACGCCTGGTGTAGAGAATCCATTTGTCTAATGGTAGGTCCAGCCCTGGCAGATTACCTTGTAATATATAGTTGCTTACATAGATAAGCAACTATATCACATAGTTATACACATCCTTTCACATCAAGCATAGAAGCTGCTATCACAGATGGCATTAGCAACAAAACTAAGAGGCAAAGCTAAGCCTGAGGAAATGTAAGCTGAACTTAAATATGAATTAACCTGTTACATTCCTCTAGCAAATCAGAAGAAGTCACATGGTCAAGTTTTATAATGGTCAGTGGAAGTTAAGCAGATGACATTTTAACAAAGTTTGTAGAATCTTGTAGAATTCAAATTCAAGAACACCTCTCAGACATTCACACTCAGACTGGATGCTGCTAATTGATCCAAAAACAGATATTTTGGACAGGCAGAATAATCCATGCTCTGGTAACCTCACATTTAAACCACTGTAATGTGCTCTGTGTGGGGCCGCCCTTGAAAATAGTCTGGAAACATCAGTTGATAGAAAATGGGGCAGCCCATCTGTTGACAAAGATGAGCAAGAACAAACATATTAGCCTAGCTCTATGCTTTATCAACTTCATGGCTTAGGGCCTGGATATCTAAAGGAAAGTTTCCTCGCATTATTGTAAGCTGCCTTGCGACTACAGTAGTAGGCAGCATATAAATGAAAGTATTAAATAAATAAATACATGTAAATTTGCACCTACAGTTGTCTATGGAAGTCCTTCTCCAGGAGCCACCTTTAAATGAGTTACAGAATGTGTCCACAAGGGGAAGGACCTTCTCAACTGTGGTGCCCCGATTTTGGAATCAGCTCCCCAAAGTTATACAACTGGTGCCAACTCTATATATGTTCTGGTATCAGGTTAAACCATTTTTTATTATCTTGCCATTGTAATTGTTGATCTGATTAATTGTCTTTATATTGGCTTTTATTATACTGTACTGGTACATGTGGAATGTTATTAATTATTGTCATTTATCATTGGTTTTCATTTTGGTCCTATTGTTACTGTTTATATTGGTTGAATTTTATTGATCATATTAATGTTTTATGATTGGTATACTTGTTTTTAAACTCCTGATACTGCTGTTTTAAATTGTTTGTGGTTTTATTGTATAATATACTGTTTTATTAAGTTTTATTGTATAACTGTTCTAAGAGCTCTGTGCTAATGTGTGGGATAGAAAAGCCCAAATAAATGAATGAATGAATAAAAACATACCTTCCAGGAACAGCGAAATAACTATGCCATAGTTGGATACCAAAGTTCTGGAAATATGCTATTTATGAATGGCCGTCCAAAAGTAGTTTGTGTGGTGCCATCTTTCCAATCTTTTTGGTGCCAGGCAGAAACAGACTTTGGAGAAGAAGTCTCCAAGACATTCTAATAACTGATTTTATATTTGGATATTATTTATACTGTTTTTAGCTTTAATATATTTTAACTGATTGGTACCTTTATTTATTGTTATTTTATGTAATATTATAATCTGCTTAGAGAATCTTGGGACTAGTAAAGCGGAATAGAAGTTGAAGAAATAAATATAAATAATAATAAATAAATATTTAGAAGTTGAAGAAATAAATATAAGTGCACACACTGTACCTATAAAGTTACATGGCATTTTTGTTACAGGCAACTTGCATATAAAAGACAAAAGAGAGTTGCAATATTAATATACCACCTAATCCTACAACTTAAAAAATTCTTCCTTTTCTTACAAGTGAAAGCATAATTGTGCCCTAACCTTCTTTTCCGCTCACTGCTGCTATGCTGGCTGTCAATCCCAGTGAGCAATCTTCTCCACTTGCTGCTGTCAGGGATGGCACATATGTCTTCTTTTTAGAAACATACTATGTGGAGGTCAATTATGTTCAGCATCACACCCTCATGGTAACCCATGAAATCCAATCCCACTAAACTGTTCCCTGAAGTTGCTGAGTCAAAAAGTATCTTATTCTAAAGAGCATATGTCTGACAATGAAATCCGATATCTACTGAGGAGTAAGTCCTGTGTCATTCACCAACACTTACTCTGAGTAGTCACTTACAGGTTTAGCTGCTTAACCCTGATGTAGCAGTAGAAGCCTGTACACGTCTACTCAAAAGTGACTTGCAATAAATTTAGTAGCACTTATACCTAGGTTAGCCTGCTATCTACGAATATCTTACAATTATTATTTCAGTCTTAGCTTTTTCAACTTTTCATAGTAAGTTCCTAACAGGTCTGTATTACAGACATTGTATCCAATATTTTAAGCCAGATCACTTACCATCCAAAACAGTGTCCCAGTGGCAAATTCTGCATAATGTTCTATAGTGGAGAGAACACTGAAAATTAAACAAACTAGCACCAATAGAAATCTGTAGGAACAAAACAAAAGAGTATGTGTTCACTTTTAACAGGAAACAGTAGTTTATTTCAAAAACATATGTTGCTACATGCATTTTTCTCATACTTTAAGCAAAAACTGAGGAACATTAAGTTTTATTAATTGTTAAACAATTGTTAAAAATGTAAATAAAATCAAGTCATACATATTCTGCCTACTGTTAAAATACTGCCTAATCTGGCAGAGAAAGGGTTCAGAAATGGAGGCAATAAAATCATAAAATCATAAAAATAATCATGTTACTACTCATAAGTAGCTTAAGATGCAAATAAACAATTATTATCTTCTCATTGAATTTACCACCAATAACTTTTTAGCTTATAAATTCCATTCAACTTGAAGAGCTACTTCCTACTAGAAACATGTGGGTACTGATCCTTCAGAAAATCTTTAAAGAAAAATTAAGAGAGTATTTACAGCCTTGGAGAAAAAAATGTTAATATATATTCAGGAGCATGTAAAGTGGCAAAGAAACATGATCTCCCACCTGTATGAAATCTTCTGTGTGCCACGTAGCAGAGCTTTTTAGGATCATCTGGGAGTTATTATATGATGGCCCTATGGAAGTCTACTGGGGTATACTTGCAACATACTGCTAGGATAAAGCTTGCATCTGCCAAGACTTAGACTCTAGTGGTACAGGAAGTGGATCATATAAGCCATCCTGAGCATAGTCTTGTCTAGTGTTGTTGGCTGGATTTCAAGCACTACAGTAGGGTTAGGATGAAACTCACCAGAATCTATCCCCCCATGTGTGGTCCAGACTTGCAAAGTGAGCCAGCCAAGAAGTCAGCAAATGTTTGTGGAATAAAGGTTGTACAACTGACAACCTTCTTCCATATCGGGTGCAGCAGCACTGCTAGGATTGGGAAGCAGTAGCATGGGGCTTACCAGGAATGGCTCCCCACATGACCACTGCCCAAGCAGTGTTCCTCTTTTGTGTCAGGTGCTGCCATGACAAAGCACTGTCCTGGGTGCTCGGAGTCCTGGGAGCTGAGCCCAGGGAATCCATTGGATTTCCAGCCCAATACACATTCTTCCACATCCCTGTACTACAGCATGAGAATGCTGACAAGGTGCTTGAACTGATTCATGGAACCACTAGCATTCTAAACAATTGACCCTCTTGGTTTATGAAAACCAGCTGGAAGGAAACAGCTGGTGTGGGAAGTGGCCAATCCCTCTTTGTACAAGGGAATGGCTCTGGGCCACATGACAGAGGCAATGGTGAGAGCACTCCTGAAGAAGCCTCCCTGGACCCAGAAAAACTCAATTACTTCTGGGTGCTGCAAAAGTTCATTTCTGGATAAGATCCTTGATTGGGTGGTTGCCAACTAGCTCCAGATGTTCTTGGGTGAGATCCATTTCCTTTGGGATTCAGGCTAGGTTTTGGCAAAGAAAGAGACTTTGATGACAGGAAAGGTATAGAGGAAGCATGACCCTTCTGATTTTCCTTGATCTTTTGACAGTCGTATCTTTCTGGGACAACTGTCCAAGCTGGGGGGTAGAAGATATCACACTGAGTCATTGTGTTCCTACTCTACTTTTATTCATTTTCATCAGGTGTGGCTGTGAAAGTAGATGAATTACTGGCTGAGACAAATGACTGAATAGACCAAACTTCATTCCAAAATGTACAAATATGCAGTAGCCAGGTTGCTAATGAGAACCAGAAGATCCAACCATAAAGCATCAATTGTGGTGGACCAATATGTTGCTAACCCCAAACAAATGTGCTGGTCTTGACTTATAATATTTTACATGGTTCAAGACTGCAATACCTGATGGGTTGCCTTTCCCAGTATAAACCATCCGTACAGTACAGTCAGTATCTGAGGCCCTCCTCTGAATGCCTCCTCCTAGTGAGGTTTGGTGCAAGGCAACAAGGAAGAGTGCCTTCTTGATGGTACCACTCCCATTACAGAATATGCTTTCCAGTGTGGTCTACCTGGTGCAATCACAGCCATAATTTCAGTCTCTGATGAGGCATTTTAGTTTTGCATTAGGATTGATAATTTTTTTAAACTACTTTAAATTTCTGAATTTATAGGCTTTGTTTTGTATTTTATCATGCTGTGAACTGTCCAGATATCTTTGGCTATTTGGGAATACAGACATGGAATGACTAAATTAATGAAGTAGACATTGGATGAGACCCAACCATGTCCCACCTCTCACAGTAGGAGTAGTGGAAGAGCATTCACTCCAGCAAAAGAAATGTAAGTTGACAACAACAACAAGTTCAGGCCCAATCACTTGGAATGAATGGGATATAGATATAGCAGCAACAACAACAACACTAGTGGTGGTACTAGGACCAGATTCAGTTGCCACAACCTCTTTCCCTTAATACACAAACATATACAGTGCAGGTGGGAAGAAACTTGTTAGTAGAGCCCCCTTCAGTAATGTGTCTGCCTCATTTGAGGCCTAGATGCTTTTGGAGAACTTACAATGGTGGATATCATGAGCAGATGTCACCCGTTTCCCCTTCCCAGCAGATAAAAGTAAGAGGATTGTATCTACAGTTCTTTATTGAGTAGGCTAACTTTGTAATACAGAGTAAGTAACATAAAAGTTCTTAGCAGGAAGCATCCATCTTGCTCACACCAGAAAATTGATTCCCATCCTCCCTTCCCCTCCAAATGAAGCTGACTTCATCCTGAAGGAGATTTGCATTGCTTGCAAGCCAGACAGCTGGAATGTTGAATGTTGGTTTGCTTGACTTGACAACAAACCACTGGGCTGTTAAATTTATCCCCCTCCCTCTCTGACTGTCCTGGTTCTAGAGTGTCTCCTCACAAATGAGAAGCTGTCTAGTTCTTACCAGCTGCTCAACTAATGTTGTAGCTCATCAGCTTTGAAATGTCAGCTAATCATTTAGCCTCATCTTCTCGTTCATAGTCAGAATCTGAACTATTTAGATTGGAATGCTCTATTTTTGGGAGAAGTGGGCCCAATTTCTACATCATCCCCATTCCCACAGTGGCCCCTCCCCCACACTCATTGTTTACTGCTGCCTTCCAAAGGCAGTAGTTGTGGAAACCACAAATCAGTACACATGCAGATGTAACACTGCTTTTACATGCGACTCATGCGTCACTGGAGTAAATCAATAAACTGTTGAGATAAACAATCAGGAATTTGTCCAAGAAGTCATAAAAATTGTCTTGTCCAAGAAGTCATAAAAATTGTGTTTAAGAAACATATGGAGGGCCTTCCTACCAATTCAAAAGGCATCATCACATCCTGAAAATCACCACATATCTATGCAACTTCTAGGATGCTTGCAAACTTGTTGCTCTGTGTCAGGCTGGCTACAAACATAATTGAATCAAAAGACCTAGACTTTGGGGCTCTTCAACCCAACCCAGTTCATTCATAATTTCATAATTCAAGCCTTCTAAACATCATTCTACTGCAAATCCTGTATCACTAGCTGGTAATAACCCTAACCCTTGCCAAAGATGACAGATCTCATTGTTAGCTGGGTCCATTGGTGTGCCCCCTATATGACACTATTTCATCTATAAGTCCTTGATAACTAGTCAAGAGAGGATCATTACTACCATTGCCCATTTTCTCACAATTCCTGACATTAGGCTGATTACAAAACCAAACTGTATTTCTGGATTTGGAAAATCCAGCTTGAGCCAAATGTATCGATCTACTTGAGCATCAAAAGTCTGAAAATGTTCTTTGTCACCCTCAAATATTTCTAGAACCTCCATTGGATATTTCCTGTGGGACACTAGGGCAGGTCCTGTTGGAGAGACCTGTGTGGGGGTGGGGGGGTACTAGTTCAGCTGCATGAAAAAACAGAATGACCATCCTGTAGGCCTGGTTCTCTCAAAAAACAGCCTCAGCCAGTTCCTCCATAATGACACCAGAAGAATGTCAAACAAGCAGAAGAGTTTGGAATCAGCTGTCAGGAGCACCTCTTGCCCTCTTTCCTTTCCCAGCAGATCAAGGATTCTAGCCACCGTCTTTTATTGAACAGGCTGACTTTGTAAAACAGAGTGAGTAAAATGAGCATTGTTAACAAGAAGTATCCATCAAGTGAGCAATCCCTCTAACTAGAGAGTTAGTGCCAGAAATCGATTACCTTCTTTTCTCCTCCAAATGCTGGTAACTCCACCCTCAAGGAGATTTGTACTGCTTGTGGGCCAGATGGCTGGAACACCAGACGTTACTTAATTGGTTCACTCATTTGATTTGATGATGACTCACTGGGCTGATAAATTCACACCCCTCTTCATCTGACCCTGCTTGTTCCACAATGTTTCCCCAGAGGTGGCCTGTTTCTCACCAGCTGCTTGGCTAATCTTGTGGCTCATTAACCTTAATATTTCAAACCTCACCTTTTCTTCTTGTCCATATTTAAAGTCTGAATTCACTAGCTTAGAATGCTATATTCAGGGTTCAGCCCATACAATAGACACATCTCCACACTATAAAAACATTGTGGCAATTGCCACTCCCACCAGCACCCTGGTGTGGGTGAGACAAACTGGAGTGGCGGTGCAGGTCTTTTCTTCATTCCTTCTTTCCTTCTTAAACAGTTTTAACAAATATTGTTCAGCATGTTAGAGACAATGTATGCAACAATCTCTACAAAAAGGAGGAAGTAGGAAAAAAGTAAAAAATAAAAGGAGCATACTAATTCTGCACACATAGAATTACCAAACATTGAGAAGACAATTTATTGTGATAGGCCTAGCTCCTCCTTTCCTCACCTCCAAGCTGCTTCCTTTACTCCTTCCCCAAAGTCAAGTTCCCTACTTTGGAATAATCCCCATCAGCTGGTTCTACCATGCTAGACCAGGGGTGGGGACAGGACCAGAATGCAATCTCCAACTCTTGCACTGAAAAATTCAGAGGCAGCAAAAATAATAATGACAATTTGTTTTTTGTTTTTTTTTTCTGATTTATATCCTGCCTTTTTCCTACAAAGGGCTCAAGGCAGCTTAC